AGAGATGGACAGAGGGGGGAAAGGGGGTAGACTATAAAATATATATAGACATAGAAGAAGGCAGAGAGAGAAGGTTTTGACATAGAAAATTTTATGAATAGAAGGATGGACAAAAGAGGGGAAGAGGGATAGACCTTTGGGTATATTAAAACCCTAGAAAAGTTTGGCCGAGAGGGAAGAGTTTAGACTTTTATTAATATAGAAAAGAAGAAGGGCCGGAAGGGGGGGAAGAAGATTTTAGACTTTAGATTTAATCTAGACATAAAAAGAGATGGACAGAGAGGGGAAAAGGGGGGGGTATGACTATAGATATTTTAGACATGAAAGATTGGGCCGAGGAGAAAAGTAAAAGACTAAATTTTTATAGACATAAAAAGGGATGGACCGAGAGGGAAGGGTTTAGGGCATAATTTAAAATTAAAATAGACGAGAAAAAGGGAGAAAAGAAGAGTTAGGGCTATAATAAAATATTGACATAGAAGAGATGGACAAGGGGAAGGGAAGAGTATAGAAAATATAATATATAAAATTGACTAGAAGAGAGGGGAAAGAGAGGAAATTTATAGACCCAATTTGATATATATAAATAGAAAAAATGGCCCCGAGAGGGAAGGGTATAAAACTATAGATATATATAGCAAGAAAAGGGGGAAAAGAGAAAACAGAAATGAAAAAAAAGAATGGGGGAGAAAATTAACCCCCCCCAAACTTGCCCCAAAATTTCCCCCAAAAAAATTTTTGGCCCCAAATATAGACCTAGAAGGTGGACAAGGGGAGGGAAAAAAATATGAATATTTGATATATTAGAAATAGAAAAAGAGGGCAGGAGAAAAGGGTATAGACTTAATTATTAGACATAGAAGAATGGGCAAAAGGAAAAGGGAAAAGTATAAATATAATATATATAGACATAGAAGAGAGGGGCCAGAGAGAAGATATAGACAAAAATATATATAGACATAGAAGGATGGACAAAAGAGAGAAGAGTTTTTGGGTATAGGTATATATAGACATAGAAAGATGGACAGAGAGAAAGGGTAGACTATGGAAAATATAGACTTTGAAGAGATGGACAAAAGGGGAAAAAAGAGAAGGGACTATAGATATATATAGACCTAGAAAAGATGGCAGGAGAGAAAGATAGTATAGAAAATTATAGACAATTTGAAGAGATGGAAAAAGAGGAAGGTATAGACTATAGATATAATTTGACTTAAAAAAGGTTTTAACAGGGAGAAGGGGCTCCGGTTGGGGTTTTTAAAATGGAAAAGGGGACGGGGGGGATGGGCCTAAGGGGAAAAAGCTTAAAGGGATGGCGGGAAAGGGGTATGCTTTTAAAATTTTGTGGAAGGATGGCAAGGAAAAAACGGGTTTTAAAACTGAATGGGAAAACCCCCAAAAGGGGTTGGTTTTTTGACCAAAAGGGGCCCGGCAAAAAAAAAAAAGTATTTAATTTTTTTTTATTAAAATTGAAGGATACAAAAGAAGGGTTTAATTTAAAAAATTTTTTAAACCATTTAAAAATGGCCCCCCCCCAAAGAGGGGAAAAGGGGTTTTAAAAATGAATAATAAAGGGGAAAAATTTAACCGGGGTTATTTTTAAACCCCTTTTTCCTTTTGGGGAAGGTTTTTCCAAAAAAGTTTTTTACCCTCGGGGATAATCAATGTAAAAAAAAGGGGCCCCAAAATCCCCAAAACTCCAAAACTTCCCAATGTGGTAATTTAATTTTATTTTTCTTTCAAGGGTTAAAAGTTCTGGGAAAAAAAAAACCCACAAATTATCAAAACAAACCTGTTCCCCTGGAACCCATTTACCAATCCCTTAAAGTGGCCAAATACCCTTTTATTGATTACCCCCCTTTAAAAAAACACTAAAAAAATAGGGCTCGTTAAAGGGGTTTTCCCCGTCCCGTAAAACCTCCCTCCCCTCACTCCTGATAAGGGGGGGTTTTTCTTCCTTAAAGGGGTTTCCCCCTTTCCCCCCTGGATTCACCGGCCCCCTCCTTATTTTCCATTTTGGAAAGAGCGGGTTTTCCCCAAAATTTTTTTGGGGCACTCCGGGGGGATATATCAATGCCTTTTTTAAGGGGAAAACCCAAAATTCCATCCCTAGGTCTAATTCTTTAAAAAGGAAGGGAAAAACCCAAAACTTTTCTAAAGGGGTTTAATTCCCCGCCAAAAACACCAAAAAAAACCCCGGGGTCTGGGAACAATGGAGGGGGTTGGGCCCCCCCAAAAATTTTTTTTTTTTTTTTTTTTTTTTTGGGGGGGGGGGGGGGGGGGGGGGGGCCAAAAACCCAAAAACCCAAAAAAAGGGGGCTGGACCCCAAAACCCGGGGGCCCCCAAAAAATTTCCGGGTCAATGCCTGGGAGGGATGGGGGGTTGGCCCTCGGGGCACCAAGGAAAAAAAGGGGTTTTCCCAACTTCCCCCCCCCCCCACCCCCCCCCTCCAGGGGGCTTCTCCCCCCTTCATCTAACTATAAAGTGGTTTAACAAGTGACATCAATAAGGGATTCATAGCTTTCACCTGGATTCACCTGGTCAATCTATATCATGGAAAGAGCAGGTGTCCATAATGTTTTGTACACTCAGTGTATATATACACTGCTCAAAAAAATTAAGGGAACACTAAAATAACACATCCTAGATCTATCTGAATGAATGAAATAATCTTATTAAATACTTTTTTCTTACATAGTTGAATGTGCTGACAACAAAATCACACAAAAATTATCAACGGAAATCAAATGTATCAACCCATGGAGGTCTGGATTTGGAGTCACACTCAAAATTAAAGTGGAAAACCACACTACAGGCTGATCCAACTTTGATGTAATGTCCTTTTAAAACAAGTCAAAATGAGGCTCAGTAGTGTGTGTGGCCTCCACGTGCCTGTATGACCTCCCTACAACGCCTGGGCATGCTCCTGATGAGGTGGCGGTTGGTCTCCTGAGGGATCTCCTCCCAGACCTGGACTAAAGCATCCGCCAACTCCTGGACAGTCTGTGGTGCAACGTGGCGTTGGTGGATGGAGCGAGACATGATGTCCCAGATGTGCTCAATTGGATTCAGGTCTGGGGAACGGGTGGGCCAGTCCATAGCATCAATGCCTTCCTCTTGCAGGAACTGCTGACACACTCCAGCCACATGAGGTCTAGCATTGTCTTGCATTAGGAGGAACCCAGGGCCAACCGCACCAGCATATGGTCTCACAAGGGGTCTGAGGATCTCATCTCGGTACCTAATGGCAGTCAGGCTACCTCTGGCGAGCACATGGAGGGCTGTGCGGCCCCCCAAAGAAATGCCACCCCACACCATGACTGACCCACCGCCAAATCGGTCATGCTGGAGGATGTTGCAGGCAGCAGAACGTTCTCCACGGCGTCTCCAGACTCTGTCACGTCTGTCACATGTGCTCAGTGTGAACCTGCTTTCATCTGTGAAGAGCACAGGGCGCCAGTGGCGAATTTGCCAATCTTGGTGTTCTCTGGCAAATGCCAAACGTCCTGCACGGTGTTGGGCTGTAAGCACAACCCCCACCTGTGGACGTCGGGCCCTCATACCACCCTCATGGAGTCTGTTTCTGACCGTTTGAGCAGACACATGCACATTTGTGGCCTGCTGGAGGTCATTTTGCAGGGCTCTGGCAGTGCTCCTCCTGCTCCTCCTTGCACAAAGGCGGAGGTAGCGGTCCTGCTGCTGGGTTGTTGCCCTCCTACGGCCTCCTCCACATCTCCTGATGTACTGGCCTGTCTCCTGGTAGCGCCTCCATGTTCTGGACACTATGCTGACAGACACAGCAAACCTTCTTGCCACAGCTCGCATTGATGTGCCATCCTGGATGAGCTGCACTACCTGAGCCACTTATGTGGGTTGTAGACTCCGTCTCATGCTACCACTAGAGTGAAAGCACCGCCAGCATTCAAAAGTGACCAAAGCATCAGCCAGGAAGCATAGGAACTGAGAAGTGGTCTGTGGTCACCACCTGCAGAACCATTCCTTTATTGGGAGTGTCTTGCTAATTGCCTATAATTTCCACCTGTTGTCTATTCCATTTGCACAACAGCATGTGAAATTTATTGTCAATCAGTGTTGCTTCCTAAGTGGACAGTTTGATTTCACAGAAGTGTGATTGACTTGGAGTTACATTGTGTTGTTTAAGTGTTCCCTTTATTTTTTTGAGCAGTGTATAATGAATTGAAAAGTCCAAAAATGGATGTAGCAATCGCAGACTGCCCCTTTAACAAGGTGTTATGATGAGTTTCTGGTATCGAGAAGTTCATGATGCAAGAGAATATGGGACACAGATGGGAGAGTTGATTCAGTCATTATTTAATGGTTACAATAATTGTTTAAAGTCCAAAATGGATGTTTAGCAATCGCAGATTGCCCCTTTAACAAGGAAATAGCATTACAAGTAACAGACTGCAGATTTTACAGAAAGTATTTCAATTGAAAGTATACAGAGTGTTGACATGTAACCATTATAAACCCTCATAACATTATAACCCTCATACCCTTATAACCCTCAAAACATTATAACCCATAACCATTATAAACCCCAAACCATAAACCCTCATAACATATAACCCTCATACCCGTTATAACCCTCATAACATTATAACCATTATAACCCTCATAACCCCATTACCTCAACCAGTATAACCATTATAACCATTATAACCATTATAACCATTATACCATCTAACCCTCATAACCCTCATTACCCTCATACCATAAACCCTCATAACCATTATAACCATTATAACCCTCATAACCCTCATTACCCTCATAACCATTATAACCATTATAACCATTATAACCCTCATAACCATTATAACCCATATAATAATTTAACCCTCATAACCATTATAACCCTCATAACCATTATAACCCTCATAACCATTACTCTAACCATAACAAGTGGTTGCATATCAACAGCATTTCAACAGAGTTTAGTTGATAGTTTGTTGATATGGTGTGAGCATCTGTACCTAGATCATCCAATTCTATTCATCACAGAATTTTTAAGATTCCTCAGTGTGGAAACAATACGTCCAAACCAGGAGGGGGCAGTGTTAGGGTTAAGACCTCTTGGACACTGATCTGGGAACACCTTGACACCTTTGTTCAACTTGTTTTCGAGTGCTCCCAAGCTTTCTGTTCTCAATGTTTTCCCTTCCTTGACATCCTCCTTCTGGTTCTCACCCCAGTGTGCTTCGGCCACCCACTGTCTCTGGTTGCTGTTGTAACAGCAGTAGGCTGTCCACAGGAGATCCGGGATGTTCACTCGGTTCTTCAGTGTGTTGCTCTCACTGGGCACTGCTCCAGTCACCACATAGGCCTTTATCTTCCCGTTGTTATCAAGACAGTCCTTCTGAAGCGTTGTTCTGACATAGTCCTCCATTTTGTTCCAGCTGCCCCCGTTGAAGGACACCACCTGGGGAACGATGTTGGTCAGGGTAAAGGTGGACTCCTGAGTTTCAAGGTCATGAGCATGTGAACATGGGAAGAGGTGACCTCTGTTCACCCCATTACTGTCTATTGAGTTCTTATAGTCGTTGTTCCCAGCCTGGTGATCTGGAGACTGTCCCTTATCCTCACTCATTTTAGGGCTGTTTTTTATGTTGTTGAGCTGCAGGAAACAACAAACATTCATTCACAAGTTTTCTGTACAATTAACCCTCTTTTGTGGTGGGGGGGGGTCACGATCCACAATCAAGACAGTCAAATCAAATCAAATCAAATCAAATTTTATTGGTCACATGCGCCGAATACAACAGGTGCAGACATTACAGTGAAATGCTTACTTACAGCCCTTAACCAACAGTGCATTTATTTTAAACAAAAAAGTAAGAATAAAACAACAACAAAAAAGTGTTGAGAAAAAAAGAGCAGAAGTAAAAAATAAAGTGACAGTAGGGAGGCTATATATACAATAGAATAAAGTGACAGTAGGGAGGCTATATATACAGGGGGGTACCGTTGCATAGTCAATGTGCGGGGGCACCGGCTAGTTGAGGTAGTTGAGGTAATATGTACATGTGGGTAGAGTTAAAGTGACTATGCATAAATACTTAACAGAGTAGCAGCAGCGTAAAAAGGATGGGGTGGGGGGGCAGTGCAAATAGTCCGGGTAGCCATGATTAGCTGTTCAGGAGTCTTATGGCTTGGGGGTAGAAGCTGTTGAGAAGTCTTTTGGACCTAGACTTGGCACTCCGGTACCGCTTGCCGTGCGGGTAGCAGAGAGAACAGTCTATGACTAGGGTGACTGGAGTCTTTGACAATTTTGAGGGCCTTCCTCTGACACCGCCTGGTATAGAGGTCCTGGATGGCAGGGAGCTTTGCCCCAGTGATGTACTGGGCCGTACGCACTACCCTCTGTAGTGCCTTGCGGTCAGAGGCCAAGCAGTTGCCATACCAGGCGGTGATGCAACCAGTCAGGATGCTCTCGATGGTGCAGCTGTAGAATTTTTTGAGGATCTGAGGACCCATGCCAAATCTTTTTAGTCTCCTGAGGGGGAATAGGCTTTGTCGTGCCCTCTTCACGACTGTCTTGGTGTGTTTGGACCATGATAGTTCGTTGGTGATGTGGACACCAAGGAACTTGAAGCTCTCAACCTGTTCCACTACAGCCCCGTCGATGAGAATGGGGGCGTGCTCAGTCCTCTTTTTTTTCCTGTAGTCCACAATCATCTCCTTTGTCTTGGTCACGTTGAGGGAGAGGTTGTTGTCCTGGCACCACACGGCCAGATCTCTGACCTCCTCCCTATAGGCTGTCTCATCGTTGTCGGTGATCAGGCCTACCACTGTTGTGTCGTCGGCAAACTTAATGATGGTGTTGGAGTCGTGCCTGGCCATGCAGTCATGGGTGAACAGAGAGTACAGGAGGGGACTGAGCACGCACCCCTGAGGGGCCCCCGTGTTGAGGATCAGTGTGGCAGATGTGTTGTTACCTACCCTTACCACCTGGGGGCGGCCCGTCAGGAAGTCCAGGATCCAGTTGCAGAGGGAGGTGTTTATTCCCAGGATCCTTAGCTTAGTGATGAGCTTTGAGGGCACTATGGTGTTGAATGCTGAGCTGTAGTCAATGAATAGCATTCTCACGTAGGTGTTCCTCTTGTCCAGGTGGGAAAGGGCAGTGTGGAGTGCGATAGAGATTGCATCATCTGTGGATCTGTTGGGGCGGTATGCAAATTGGAGTGGGTCTAGGGTTTCTGGGATTATGCTGTTGATGTGAGCCATGACCAGTCTTTCAAAGCACTTCATGGCTACAGACGTCAGTGCCACGGGTCGGTAGTCATTTAGGCAGGTTATCTTAGCGTTCTTGGGCACGGGGACTATGGTGGTCTGCTTGAAACATGTTGGTATTACAGACTCAGTCAGGGACATGTTGAAAATGTCAGTGAAGACACTTGCCAGTTGGTCAGCACATGCTCGGAGTACACGTCCTGGTAATCCGTCTGGCCCTGCGGCCTTGTGAATGTTGATCAAGTCTCTATACCCTCTATAGTGGTAGTTCTATATTCTGTTAACATTACTGCTATATATCACAGACAGTTAACAAATATAAGTTATGTTATATGACAAAACATTAAGCCTACCTGGGGCTCGATCATCCAGGGTTGATGATCTGGTCTTTTGCCCGTAGGAGGACCAGTGAAGGTGTAGGCTGAGAACACAGGGATCTTGTTGATCGTGTCGTAGAGAGTTGCAAACCTGTAGCTGTTCTTGTACTTCTGGCAAATCGGTTTGTAGCGGTTCTGGTCCTTGACTGTCCCACCAACCAAAATATCCGGGAGATTTGGAGTTGTCCGATCCAGGAAGAAATCACTGCACTCTGGAACATCACTGAACTTCCCCACTACATGAGAGAGAGAAGGAGGAAGGAGAGAGAGGAGGAGGAGAGTAGAGAGATGATTCAATACCTCCATCATCACCTGAAGACTGGACACCACAGAGACAAAGATGAAGTTACAGAGACCAGTTGGTAGACTGGAGACTGCTGAGCTGAGACAAGACAGGCTGCTTTAAATAGGTTTTCAGAGACTCCTCCTTCAGATGTCAAGACAGATAGGGTTGATTTGCATAAACTCCTCTGTATGCTTACATGGAAACTGCTGTAACAAATAAAATGTGACTCACCTACTGAAGGCCTATTCCATGGGACTGTATGGTGATCAGGCCTCTGGGCCTTTTAACAAGAACGACCACAGACATTTTAATTTACTTCATGTTAATTCAACATTTTCATGGGCCCTAACTCTGCCATTGGGAATGTCATGTCTTGACTTTTCCTTGATAAGTGTTTTAATGAAATGGGGTGATTTGGGGATTTGTTTTTGGACGGAAGCGGTAGAGATCAGTCAGGAATTGAACTTCTGAAGCCAAATATCTAATTGATCCATTAAATGACCGGGTATGATGGTGCATTGATCAGTTATACAGTTTAAAGCTGTTCTTTTGCATTTTTTGCCCAAAGTCAACCTTTTAACACATTGACTTTGTTTGAACTTCATTTCATAAAACAAAATCTTAGGAGGACAAATCATTTTGAATGTTCCCACCCTTCCTTCTCCTGACAGTTGCCTGGCCAACTGATTATAAAATGCCCCAGATTAACCTTGATCTGGTAGTTTAATGCAGAAGGAGTGAACGCTCTCTGTACCCTGAGTTCTTCTTCCTTTCTCATGATCTAAGGATGCCTCAGGTGGTAAACAGGCCACTGGGTAAACAGTATCTTACTGAATGATGAACTATTCTATCATGAGATCTGGGAGAAGGTGTGTTTAAAGGAAACAGAGCACCTGGCCTACAGTAGCCTGCTACAAGCAGTCAGCTTCCTTTTCGTTTTATTTATACAAGTTACCAGATCAACCTGTACTTGTTTGTTTGGCATAATTATCTGACTTGCAAGCAGTCAGTTGCCAACTAGTGGCCTTGTGGGTAGTGTCCACCCTGATAAGGTGTTGGGGGTTTGATCCCTGTTTGAGTCATACCAAAGACTCTATAAAATGGGACCTGATGCGTCTGCTTGAAGGAGATGGATTGGGTGTAAGGCCCTCTAACAGATTAGCTTCCTGTCCAGTACTTGTACATCCAGCTGCCTCACGCTACAGAAACAAGAGATAGGTTCTTGAACTTTGGGCCGTTCTGGCTTGGACAAGACTTACTTACTTAAGCAGTCAGTTGACAATTAAAACAACATTTCATTTATTCTGCCCTCCAAACAAACAGGTTTTAAAGGTTTTCTTGTAAATTTTATGAATAAACTTTAATAAAATAAAACTAAATGGTCTATTTACTTTTGAGGCCTTTTTATGGAGAAAAAAAAAACGGCTTCTCCTTTACAGTTTGAAAAGTTTAGGAAAAGTTTTTCACAAAGGAATTTGGGTGGGAAATTTCAGCAGTGAAATGGAATAAGGGGCCCGAAAATTCCAAAAATTTCCCTGGAATAGGCCTGAATTAAGAAGTTTTTCCCTGGAAAAGGCCCGAAAGTACATTTAAATTTTCCCTGGAATAGGCCTAAGTTTCAGAAGTTTCCATGGAAAGGCCTGAAGTTTTCAGCAATTTCTGGAATAAAAGGGCTGGGAAATTTTCAGGAATTTTCCCCTGGAAAGGCCTGAAGTTTACAGAAGTTTCCATGGAAACTAAAGGGTTTTAAGTTTCAGCAGTTTTCCCTGGAATAGGGCCCAATTTTCAAAAATTTTCCCTGGAATAGGCCCCAAGTTAAAAAGCAGTTTTCATGGAAAAGGCCTTTAAGGGTTTCCGGAAATTTCCATTGGGAAAAGGCCGGTTTACCGCCGTTTTTCATGGAATAGGCCGGAAATTTTAAAAAAGTTTTCCCTGGAATGGCCTGAAGTTTAAAAGGTTTTTTATTGGGTAGGGGATTTAAGTTACCGAAGTTTCAGGGAAAAACCCCTCCTTCTCCCCTTTCCCCCCTTTTCTCCCTCCCTTTTTTTCTCTTTCTCCTTTCCCCCCCTTTCCCCCTTTATTTTCCTCTCCTCCCCCTCCCCTTTTTTTCCTTCATTACTGATTGAGGTTTGAAATGTTTTTCATGTATGATTTCCAGGGGGAAATTTTAAAAGTATGATTTTTCCCGGGAGAAATGGTTTTCATGTATGTTTCCCGGTAAGGGGAAAAGTTACATGTATGAAATTTTCCCGGGTAGAAATTTTTTCCCGGGTTACCTTTTTTAAAGCTTCCTGCCCTTCAGTCTTTTAACTATTTTCACACGTGGCTTTGTTTGGCAGAAACTTTACTGGGCCTTTAAAGGTAGTAACTAATTAAACATCTTGAAACTTTACTGGGCCTCTAAAAGGTAGTGACTAATTAAATGTAATGAGCGAAAAAAATGTATTCAGATTTGTTTCCTTAACTCATCGGCGGTCTATGGATGGGGTGGGTTGGCTGAGAGTTTCCCTTGGCGAGGGTGGAGACTTTGCTAACCGGAACTCCCAGTTTCTAACGCGTATGGACCCAGAACTTTAATCACACAACATTTTGGGGGTAAACGAGATTAGACCGCTCTAAAAAGTGACTGCATCCACACTTTTGGTTTTGGTAGAAAAACGTAGAGTATGTCAGCATAGAGTGGGTCAGAAGTTACACATCACACAGTGGGACTGTTTTGGAATAAAACACTAATATATTCTTCAACATCTTCTATGTTGTGTGCTGCTTATTGTTTAACCAATTCTATGTTCTAGGCGCCATTTTGAGACCCTAATGAGCATCAGGTACTCATGCAATGTATACCAATCGCATGTTCATCTTTATGTGAGAAATTAAACATTTATAACATTTTTATAAAGTATAAATAGCCCTCACTTTAGATGAAGCCACGCAAAAATATGTAACTAATGATCAGTAACTGGTTTATAAAGACCTGTATTAAATATCTGATGAAGGATATAATTGACCAGCAAGTCAAAATATTTAGTATGACGTTTCATAAAGGCCTCACATTAATTACAGATATGTTTACAACTGAATGAAATGAAGGAAGATGAATACAACTGAATGAAATGGAGGAAGATGAATACAACTGAATGAAATGGAGGAAGATGAATACAACTGAATGAAATGGAGGAAGATGTTTACAACTGAATGACATGGAGGAAGATGTTTACAACTGAATGAAATGGAGGAAATGTTTTCCAAATGAATGAAATGGGGGAAAAAGGTTTTCCAATGAATGAAATGGGAGGGAAAAATGTTTCCCCCTGAATGAAATGGAGGGAAGGAATGTTTTAAAAAATGAATTAATGGGGAAAAGGGAAAAAATGTTTAAAAACTGAATGAAATTTGGGGGAAGAGTTTACAACTGAAATGAAAGGGGGGAAAGTATCCCAAATGAAAGAAAAGGAGGAAATGTTTACAACTGAAGAAAGGGGGGAAGATGAATTCAACTGAATTAAATGAGGAAAAAGATGAATACAACTGAATTAAATGGAAAGGGAAAATGTTTACAAATGAAGAAATGGAAAGGGAAAGTTTTCAAATGAAAGAAATTGGGGGGAAGATTAAAACCAAAGGGAAAAAATGGAAAGGGAAAATGAATACAAATGAAAAGAAATGGGGGGAAGGTTTACAACTGAATGAAATGGAGGAAGATTTTTCAACGAAGGGAAAAGGGGGAAAAGTTTAAACTGAATGAAATGGAGGAAGATGTTTTCAAATGAATGAAATGGAGGAAAATGTTTAAAAAAACTGAATGAAAGGAGGAAAAGGGTTTAAAAACTGAAAGAAAAAGGAGGGAAAATGTTTAAAAATGAAAATGGGGGAAGATTTTTGTAAAAACTGAAAAGAAAAGGAGGAAGGGTGAATAAAATGAATGAAAAGGAGGAAGATGTTTTACAACTGAATGAAAAGGGGGGAAGAGTTTTAAAAACTTAATGAAATGGAGGAAGAATGTTTACCAAATGAATGGGAAAAGGAGGAAGATTTTTTTACAACTAATGAAATGGAGGAAGATTTTTAAAAACTGAATGAAATGGGAAAGAGGGTTTTCAAATGAAAGAAATGGAGGAAATTTTTTTTAAAACTGAATGAAATGGGGAAAAGGAAAAAAGTTTTCAACTGAATGAAATGGGGGGAAGATGAAAAACAAAAATGAATGAAATGGGGAAGATGTGTACAAAAATGAATGAAATGGAGGAAGATGAATACAACTGAATGAAATGGAGGAAGATGTTTACAACTGAATGAAATGGAGGAAGCAATCAAATGTCAATCAACTTTCCATGTCTGATTTAGCCTCTAACACACTACTGGAAACCAGAAGATGGCATATAATGGATGTTTCATTTACTGGTGTTGTTTAGCTTGGTGTATTCTGTGGTCTGACCACGGCTGAGTTTATTTTCCAGTAATAGAAGTAGTTCACAGTTAGAGTTGACAAGGCTGTGTATGTAGTGTTAGAAAATGTGCTTCCTAACAACACTGTGGTCAGAGCAGCACTGGGCTGATTAACCCCTCAGCAGCTGTAGATTCTCCAGTTGAGGAGGCCTTTCCTCAGTAAGAGTAGGGGAGACTGGGGGAACAAAGTAACACTTTTAGAATTTTGATTATTATGAAAATATTATTTAAGTTAAATGTTACAATTGACCCAGTAGGTGAATGTTACACAGGTCAATAATTTTAAAAAAAGAGAGGCGGCAAGTATATTTACTTTAGGGCCTCAAATCACTTTTTTTGTCCATAAAACTAAAAGTAATTAATGGATTTAAACAAAACCTCTTGGGCATGTAGAGACAAGAGCTTTAAGTGGTTTCTAATTGGAGTTATTTAGCGGTTACAACTGACCCTGTGTTACTATGTTCCCCAGGCTACCCTACCTTCATGTAGAATATTTAAAGTGACTGATTTGCTAAAGTAAAACATTTTTAACTTCTTCAACTACCATAACAATTTTCAAAAACTGAAGCAGGTCACA